TATATATATATATAGTATTAAAACTAGCAAGGATCCATTAAATCTACAAAAATAAAATATTGTCTGTGGTATTAAAATACTTTGTGGGCATCATTATTGTGTATAATTGTAACATATATAAATAATACACCTGTATGGAGTATAACAAATCATTAATTAAATAGACAAGGTTTGCATAGTTAGGTGACTTGCAAATAGAATAAAAACTATGTAAAAGTAATAACATTAACACCATAATTATAAAAAAATTATAATGTAATTGATTAGTATGACTATCATACTATGAGAAATGCAATAACACAAAAGCAATAATATAACTAACCATAAAAACCCATTTTTTTATTTTATTTCATTGATAGATATGCTATATAATGTTAAACAATTGTAATATTAATGTTTGTAAACAAAGTTATGCTTACAGTTAATGTGTTGCATGTGTTTATTTTCTCTAAACTGTTGAATAATGATCAATAAAGTAAACTTCAAATAATGAAAGCTTACTAAATTAAAACCATATTTCAACTCAAATAACCACACAAGGTAGAATCTCAAGGTAGAGCTGAAAAAAAGGAGAAAAAGTATATAATAGACAATGAATATAATGCTCCTAATTAAAATACCAAAGATACAGTACATAACGGTACCAGTTTCGATTAACAATTGACAGGTAAAACTAAAGATAAATATAGAAAAAAAGAATACAATAAAAATTAGACATGTTTAAATTTATAAAGATAATAAAACTTCATGAAAAAATAAAATAACAACTAAAATAAAATAAATAATCCTTTTAAATAAATAAAACTGTAAAAAACAAAATAACTATATTTTTTAATTTAAAAATTATACAAACTTTCTATTTGAAGAAGATCTTAAAGATACTGAATAAAGATTAGTATATACAGTGTATATACAAACCTTTATTCAGTATCTAATTTACAATGTAAAAAACGCATAAATTCTTCCCTAACATCATAGGAATTGTCTATTAATCTAATTATTAAAGACAATTATTCCTGATTGGAGCAGTCAGAAGCTTCATCAGCAATAACTGAAAAAATTCGATTTTCTTTTATTTCAGAAACCAAAATATTTTGGATGTCCTTTCCCCAACAACTTATTAATTCATTCTGTGAGGAATTAGAAATATAAGATGCATTCTTTGCACAGCTGTTAAGATAAAGCTCAAGAATTTTATCCCCACCTCTGATTCTGTAGTTTAAAAGTTCAATAAAATTACCTACTCCACCCACTAAAGAATATTTGCCAATGACCATCACAATGACCTCTGAAAGCTATATTAAGTTGACCTAAGAAAATAACTTTCTCACAAAACAACTTTTTACAATTTAAAGCTATCTCCTTTTCACATTCTTTATTAAAATATCTATATTTTAAATATTTCTATTCATAGTATTTAAAACTGCGGAAAATATGGTCCAGGCATTATAATGTAGAATTTGTACTGCGTGATGATGTTCATAAATATTTCAGCTGAGTGATATTCATAATTATTCCCGTTTTTCCCATGGTAATGTCTATTAAAAGTGCTCACAGCATCTGGCCTATATTTGAATGACTGAGAATATAAATTTTTAAATCTAGAAGTTTTTAAAAGGTATTTATATCTAAACAAAAGGCAACACAAACAAAATGCTCCATCTTCAGAAGGTAAATATCTAAGCCATGAAAATTGTTTTAATGATAAAAGTTTTTAAAGATTGCCCATTTGTTTTTGGAAAAGAAGTTTCATCAGGAACAAAAATTATTTTGAATCAAATTTTATATTTGTAAATCTTTCAAAGTAGAAGCCTTCGAACAAAACAACAAATTAACAATATCTGATGATGAACATAGAATAAGGTTCAATATTAAGATTAAACATAATTTCATATTTTAGGAAAAAACTGTTCTATAGTAACACTTAAGTCTTGTAGAACACACAGTTGAAAGAGCAAGAACACAAAGAAACACAGACCATAAAAATTCTTTACACATATGAAATGTTTCTTCCTTAACAAGGTCATTTTTTAATTTTCCTGAGTCTATAAAATGTGTGGATACAGACACTGCTAACAAATTATCAATTGATAAAAACTCATTTGGATACATTGAGCACAAGCTTACAAACAATGGATGATTACTGTAAAAAGAGGCATTTAAATATAAATCAATTGCTGTCAGTTTTTTTAAATCCATTGCCAGACTATTATCACCATACAGATAAATCAAAAATGAGCTAAATAAGCAATTGTCAGTTGATTCAGCTGAATCAGATCTGATCAGATCTGTAACAGAGCTGTAACTGATCACTGTAACTGATCACTGTAACTGATCAGAGCTTAAACAGATCTGATCAGATCAGTAAAAAGGGCAATTAAAAATTTTTAAAGTAAAAAAAAATCTACAATAAGCTCAATGGAAAATAAACTTGGATTTAATCATTTATTTACAATAAATCAGTTTGGTAAAAAGTTAAACCAATTAGATCAAGGCAAAAAATTTATTTCATAATATTATTACTATATAAATTTACATCCCCAAATGAACGAACGCAGGGATAATATGTTTACAAATTTTAAATGTAATTTTTTATTTTACTTGTTAGGATAAATAAAGTAAATCTTACTTCACCGCCTAGTTGTTCTTGACTCCTGAGGAATGTCGTGCTCTACTCTTTATTGACTTATGAACAGTCAACAACTGATAAAAATCTGACTTATGAAGGAGATTAATCTTTACTGACAATTCTGAATAAAGAGTTAGTAAACTTTCAATAAATCCATTTTCATGCAAATACCTTACAGATTGTAAATGCATGCCAAATCAAAAATTATTTAAAATTTATTTAAAACATTCAAAGAATTATCGTTAGAAAAGGCTTCTTTTAAATTAGTCAGGGGGCAATCATCATATATTTAAATTCGACTAACTTGGCCTGAAGTTACGCTACCGAACGACAAAAATAAAACAATTTAAAGTGCTTTAAAAAGTTTTTAAAATCTCGTCAGCCGAATAAAAGGGCCAGATAAGTCGCGACTAACTTGGCCTTAAGTTACGTTACCGAACAGTAAAAATAAAAAAAATTTAAAGTACTTTAATATTTTTTTGAAATCTCGTCAGCCGAATAAACGGGCCAGATAAGTCGCAAGATTTCTTGACTAACTTGGTCCGAAGTTACGCTACCGAAAAAAAAAAATTACAAGACGGGGCTTTTGCGTGCGCATATACTTATCATAGTTTAATTGGTATTGCTGTTTAGACCAAAAAAATAGAGATTTTATTTAATTTCAAAAATCTCAAAAATATATAACCTATTTCATTAGCCTGATCGTTGTTTAGTTTAGTAAAAAAGATGTTAGTCAATGCGCCTAACAAGACTAACCCTAAACCCGCCCCTGTATATATATATATATATATATATATATATATATATATATATATATATATATATATATATACACATCTATATATACTCTATATACATATATACACATATACATACTATATATTCACATATAAACATATACATACGGTCATGTTTGCCGACGATACAAACCTTTTTTTAGCTCATAACAACATAACAACATTATTCCAAAATATGAATGTTGAATTAACAAAAGTTTCTGACTGGTTTAAAGTGAATAAGCTGTCACTAAATGTTGAAAAAACTAAATGGATACTTTTTCATCAAACTTCAAAAAAAAAGCTACTACCTCCTGTGATGCCCTTACTTTTTATTGACAAAGTTCAAATAAAAAGAGAACAAACTACTAACTTTTTAGGAATAAATATTGATGAAAACCTTAGTTGGAAGTATCACATTGATTTATTGTGCAACAAAGTTGCTCGTAATATAGGAGTAATGTACAAGGCTAGAAATGCTTTAAATAAATACAGTTTAACACAATTATATTTCTCTTTAATCCATTGCCATATAAATTATGCAAACATTGCTTGGGGTAATACCAATAAATCTAAACTGCTACCTCTTTATCGTCAGCAGAAGCATGTTGCTCGGCTTATCAATTATAAAGATCGATTTGCTCATGCCAAACCATTATTATTTCAAATGAAAATTCTTAATATTTATCAGCTAAATACTTTTAATATACTTTGTTTTATGTTCAAGTGTAAAACCAACGAATCTCCAGTTTCTTTTCATAATCTATATACCTTAAAAGATAAAAATAAATATAACTTAAGAAATGATAATCAAGTTCAGCAACCTTTATCTTTAACTAATTTTGGAAAGTCATGTATTTCATATCGAGGAGCTTTTCTATGGAACAAAATAGTTTTAAAAAATTTTGACTTTTTCCATGAATGGAATTATCTTTCATTCAAGAAAAAACTAAAAGAAATTGTTTTGTCTTTTGAAAACATTTTTTTATATTTTTAAATTCTTTTAAAAATGAATATGAAGTTTATTACATAAGGTAATATATAAATATTATATCTGATCCATAACTTATGTGTTTGTGAAAACAGTACTTTTTAAAATATTTTTGTATTTATATATAAGAGTATCAACAATTTCTTTATTTCAATTTTATTTATATATAATTACGAAATTTACGTTTTCGCTAATTTTTAATACGACATTGTTTAGATTTTATACTTTATATTAATTTAATGTACTTAATATTCACGAGCGGTTCTCGATGATAAGACCTGAAGGTCTTCTGCGAGTCTCCGCGTTTTTTCTTTTTTGTATATATTTTCTTTTATTGTATAACGATTTTTATCTCAACTATCTTATTGTATAACTATATTGAATATTCAAGAAAAAAACAAAAAAAAAACAAAAAACAAAAAAAAAAAATCTAATTGTAGTCGTCTTTTTTCAAAAAAATATATATATACTCACAAATGCAACCACGCTTTCTAAATATATATGGGATACATAAAATAAAACAAAAACAACACCCTATTTAAAATGGTCCATCATAAAATATGCCCCCGCGTACAACAACATAACCAAAAAATGCTTGTTATGCTTATACTAGCGATTCCACGGCTTAACAAAAAACGTTTGACGAAAAACACGTAATTTTCATAAACTTTGCTCTCTTATATCTTTTTGTATGGTTAAACTAGCGCCTTGAGGTTCTTTGCATCAGTTAGTTTTACTCAATCTCTTTCCAAAAATATATAGAAAGTACTAAGGTTTGTATGGCTTTATTTATATATTGTCAATATCTCAAGACTATTTTTTTCATAAAAAACTTGCCGCGGGAACGTTTTTTTAAAACGAAGCTTTTAAAGGTATGGATTACTTTGTACTTAAACACATCTATTTTTTATGAAACTTTCTTTATTTATTAAGAAAAGGATGAGGAATCTAATGAAATCTGGACGCTTTTTAACTTTTATAGAAAAAATTTTAGTTCTCAGCGTTTAAAAACTTCAAGGTTGATTTATATGAAAAAAAGTGTTTTTCAAAAACGTCCAGGTGGAAATGGCAAGTTGAGCCTTTTTTTTATTTAAAACAAGTATTTATTTAAATTTACCTAAGGAATTGGAACTTAGGAATTGCGTATGTAAATTATGTGTATATATATGCTTTTCTTCGCGTATTTTATGACGTTATTTATTTTTATTTTTGCGTTTGTTTTGGTCAAATTATATAAAATAAATTGATAGTGAAAGTATAACTTCTAAAATGTTAATCAAATGAAAATAAATATTTTACTTCTTCTCAGGTATAAGTTTTGCATGGTGCAAGAAAGTTAAAAGCTTGATTTTCACTATTTTAACTACAGGTTGTCCTTATTTAAACTGCTTCTTTTTTCAAAACAAAAACCTGAAAATAGTGTTGAACTAAAGCTCACGAAAATGGACTTGAGTAAAAAATTCTTTATTTTTTTTTTACATTTATTCATCTATTTTTGTTTGTTGGTTAAAGTATTATGAACTCTAGTAATACTTACTTTAATCCCCTTTAAGTGTTGGCATTAACTATACTATAGTTAATGCCAACACCTAAAGTAAGGGGATTAAAGTAAGTATTACTAGAGTTCATAATACTTTAACCAACAAACAAAAATAGATAATTGTCTATAGACTATAGTCTATAGTCCTGAAAAAAATGGTTGCTCCATCTATAACTCAAGAAAGTAAGTCAAAATTTTTTTGATTTTAGTAATTCTATTTATTGATACCAAAGTGTAATGATCAACCCCTTGTTTTTCTTTGTTGTCACTTAAGTTAAGATTACTTTTAATTTTAGCATCCAACACTGTCTTGGATTATCTAAATATTAATGGAGGCATTGTATCCCTCAAAAATCCAGATTTGGTTTTAACCAATAGTCATTTCTTACAACTTTGTTAGGAAAAAGATAAATTTAACTTGACATGGCCGCAGCTTATATTATTTTTTACATCCTTGTTTCAGTTTCCTATTTATGCTTGTTCTATAATGCTATTATGCTATTATGCTATATTCAGTTTCCTAATTATGCTTATCAAATGCCTAAAAAAATCAAAAGATTTCATTGCAAAATTAAATCGTGCCAAAAATTTTGATTTAACAAAGTATTTTTTAAGCTCTGTTTTCTCTTTGAATGTTGCATTTAATGATGTTGTTGGTTTGTTACCTTCTTCCCCTACTTCTATCCACTCTAATGAAATTGTTCCAAATCAAGTTACTGATTTTGTATTTTCTGATGTAAACATGCAAATTGCTAGTGATAATTATTTGTGCTCTGTTACTCCAAATTCTATTGTACACATTCCTTTAGGTAATGATTCTGATAATTTTCTCCTTGAAACACAAGTCAATGAAGAGAATCTTCCAGTTTCCAATTCGGATAAAAAAACTCCCTATATTATCTGGTGATTTGACCTATCAAATAAAAAAATATAAACGGAGATTGCAAAATAAAAAAATTAATAGAAGATGTTATGAATATAAAAGAAAATATCAAGCAATCTTGTCAAAATATAATGTTCGAAATATCAACAAAAGAGACGTTAGAAAAGATTGTAAGATTAACCAATTGTTGCAAATAAATTTAAAATTAGAAAAAGAAATTGATTTGGTTAGAAAGCATTCCTAATCAGATCGACAAAAGGCCTGGTATTTAAAGAAAAAATTGAAAACACTATTTTGAAAACATCTGATGAAACAAATGATTCATTCTTAAAAAAGAGTTTGGATTACTTTGAAAATCTTACAGAAGAACTGAAGGAAAGAGTTGACATTTAAAAAAAAAAATGTAATTGACATTTATGAAGGAGGTAGATATAATGATGAAATTCACTCGGTATATTACGACCTTTTAAGTAAAAATGTTTCTGTTAATAATTTTGAATCTGTTATCAGAACTACAAAAAATGGCTGGAATGTCATGTGGCACACTTCCAAAAAAATCTTTGGCTTCTGAACTTTTTATTGAAATGAACCTTTTAGCAAAAGCTCAAGTGAGAGAGGCTATGTTGATTAGTACAAACAATGTTCTTCATACAGATGGCACAAAATATAATTTTAGAGAGGTTGGTAGTTTTCAAGTCACAACCTCATCTGGTAGCTACACGTTTGGGATAGAAGATATGTTTTCGGGAGAGGCACAATCTTATTTTGGAGATCTAAAAAACTTACTCACTGATATGTCTAAGATATTTTCTCCTGACAAGGAAAACTACGAGAATGATCTTAGGAAACTTATTTTTTCTTTCAAATCTTTGATGACAGATCGCATCGCACTATTGTTAATTCAAGATTTTTTCACCAATTTAAACATTGGAGAGAAGCAATTTTGCCTTTTGTTGTTGAAAACTATGATCAGCTTCCTTTAAATGAAAAATTAAAAACGCATGTTTGTGTTCATGTAAACATTGTAAGTCATTATATGTATGTTTGTGTTCTGTTGGACCTCTGAAGTGGTGTTAACACACATGTAAGTCACTATATGTATGTTTGTGTTTATGTACCTGTTACTCATTATGTGTATGTTTGTGTTCTGTTAGACTTCTGGAGCGGTGTTGACGACCCGTAAGTCACTATTTGTATGTTTGTGTTTATATACCTGTTACTCATGTGTATATTTGTGTTCTGTTGGACCTCTATGTATGTTTGTGTTTATGTACCTAACAGTCATTATGTGTATGTTTGTGTTCTGTTGCACCACTGGAGCGGTGCTGACCCACCTCTAAGTTATTATATGTATGTTTGTATTTATGTAGCCATTAGTCATTTGTGTATCTTTGTGTTTATTTACCTGTAAGTCATTATATGTATCTTACTCTTCTGTTGGATCTGTGGAATGGCTATAATTTCATTTGATAATGCAGGTTAGTCATTTTGATCAAGCTTTTGTTTTTTTTATTTATGTTTGTGTTCTGTTGGTCTTGTGGCACAGCGTTGAAACAACAGTAAGTTATTGTATGTATATTTGTGAGTTGTTCCAACTTGGCTGCAAGCAATCATTGTAGGAGTTAAAAGTTACTGGAAGAAAAAAGATGAAGTTTTTAGAGTAAGATAACAATTGACAGATGACTTAAAAGATTGCAAATTATAAAGGAAGCGAATTCCAAAGAACTGATGTTCGAGGAAAAAAATAGAAGAATAAGAGTTTTTTGAGCACTTAGAAACAGTCACAAGAGAATGAATTTTAGTAGATAAACATGGTACGCTAGCTTTTTATAGCAGTGCCCATATTTGTAGAAAAGAGAAAGAGAAGCACCATTACAACGATGTGATAATGGTTGGAGGTTTACAATGCATTTTTGCTCCTTGTCTAAAAGAGAAAGGGCATCATTAGAATATCTGCCCCAGCGTTTTTTTCAGCGTTTAGTGCCGCAGGGTCTGTGTGTTTTGTGATTGTGATGTTATTGTTGTGATGTTTTGTGTTGATAGACAACTTGGCTTACCTTCTCGCGGGTGTCTACCGTTAAAAATGATTATTAGATTGATTCGTTACTGAAACTACTTTTAATCATTCACTAAAAGCCAAGAGATAAATTTTAGACTAACAATATTTTTTGTTTTAATGTTGTTTTCATTTTTTCATCTTAGGTGTTGTCAATAGTTCACTAATCTCAAAAAATAAGTTTCTTATTTTATATTTATTTAGTTTTATTTGTTAATTTATAACTTTTTTTAATTTTTAATTTTTAAAATAAATTAACAAATATTTTTTAAAAATTATTGTGTATCTAATGTAATTTGATGTATTTTTGTATGTATGTAGATGAATTGTTTTAATAATAATTTTATTACATTTTTAGGTAGAGTTCTGCTGTTATACCTACTATTACTGTTGTAAGTACTCAAAATTTCAGGAAGTTCTGTTGCTGTAAGTTATTTTCATTGAAATTTAAATTTTAGTTTTATTAAAGAATCTTCTGTCTGTTAAATAGGTAATTTTGAAAGATTTATTTTAATGCCCTTACGAAGTGATTTACTAATCGGTTTGTAAATTAAGCAATAGTTTTAAACAGATGAATTAATTGGATTCCACGATCCTTTATGCACAAAAAATATCCCAGCCAACATTGCCAGACGGGTACCGTACGGTTTTTGTCTGGGCTTACGGGAACGGGATTTTGACGGGTAAGTGTTTTGGTTTCCAGACGGGTCCCATATGGTAAAAAAATTTAGCACATTTGCTCATTTGGGTTTTATCTGGTTTTTATCAGGGCCGAAGAATCTGGGGATTTGACGGGTTTCCCATAAGGTTCCCAAAAGGTTTAAACTGATAATTAAAAAAATCATAACAAAACTTACTCGATGGGTGCCATTTATAATTCGTATTGTGTGTGAAATAAGATTAAAAATTTAACTTTTATGCATTATATTTTTTCTATACATTATATTTACATTATAATTAAAAAGAAAATTTTTTTTGATGTGTTTTGTCACTGTGTAACTCCATTAAAAAGACGTTGTTTTAAAATTTCATTTATTTATTACCATAATAAAAGAATTTTTTTGTATTTTTTTTTATAAATAAATTTACAAAGTTTAACATATTTGTTGAACATATGTTCCAGAAACTATGTTTTTTTTTTTGATCATTTTTAAAATGAAACTGTTTTCATTTTTAAAATGATCAAAATATAAAGTTTTGTTTCTGCTAGTGACTGTAATAAATGGTTTGAGTTTGATCAAAATATTGGTTTAGTCAGAAACATTTAAAAAGAGCATACAGGCAAATGGAATGTAATTGATAAGTTTTATTTAGGGAATTAAAAGATTTTAAATCGTTTTTACAGATCCACTCTTTTCCATTGATTTTTATATCTATATTTTATGCAAGCAAAATGACTGATTTTAACAAAGTTTACCCACCGTCAGATATAATAGTCAGATATAAATAAAGATATAATTAGATGTTTAAATGCAAAAAAATGGCTTTATTGTTATGCATTAACCTCATTTTTTAATCATTGATATTTTTTGACTTTGATTTAAAATTGTACACTTGCAATATTAACAATAATTTCATAATATACATAATAATAACTTACACTTACAATACCTATACTTGTAAATACTTGTAATATAATACTTATATTTATAATACTGATAAAAATTTTTATTGATATGAACTTTTGCATTCAAACGTTAGTTATAAAACTTTAATTTAACTTGATAACTTTAACATGAATAACAATAACTAAAAAGATAATAGTTAATATATAGATTATAACCATATGCTTATTTATTATAATTGAGTTATTGTAAGTTAAACAAGATAAAATGTTAAGTTCCAGGTAATAAGTCTTTTTGATATGTATCTTATGTATATCTTGTATTTTGCAGCATGTTAAAGAATATTTCTGCACGGTGCACTCTGACCTGTTGACAATATTTGCATACTGATATGAGTAAAAGTGACTTCAACAACCAGAATGTATTTTTGATAAATATTAGTAATAACAGGTTAGTAAATATAATTATAATAATAATGGTAATAACTTTTTATTATTAGAATTAGTAAGAGACTTATGTATTATAGAACTACATTAACTTCTGGGGACAAATATAATGAATTGAGTAAATATTACCGTTGTTAATTACCTCAATTAGAGTAATGTAAGAAAATATTATTTTTATCTAAAAAATATTTGGCAAAAGTCAGTATTTCCTAAGTATTAAATATTATAAAAAAACATGTGCTTAAAAAAAATGTATATCATAAATAAAAAAATAACTATTAGAGTATAAAAAAAAACACATTTATTATTAAAATTTATATATACAGCTTCAGCTATAAACTCATTAGCTTCAGATTAATGCTGAATCTGATCAAGTCAGTATAATTACCTTGATAGCTGATAGGAAAAGAAAATAATATTCCATAAATATTTTATGCAAAATATATTTTTATATAGGAATTTATTCAATGAAAATCTAAAATAGTGATAAAATTTAAACATACATTTTAAAAATTTTAAATAAAATTTGCCGAAAGTTGTTGCTTTTTGTTAATGTTGCCATCAGAGCCTAGGCCTAGGATTCACAATATTAGGGGGCCCAAATTGGGTTTTCAGAGATTTGTTTAAAAAGTGGTGCCCAAAAATCTAATTCCATTTTTAATTTTCTTAACCAACTATCTTTTGTTCAAAAAGAGTACACTTATCAAGTATTTCATAGGTAAAAAAAAAAAGAAGAAAAAACAATAAAAAACTTTATCTTCTTTAAAAAAAATATTTTTCTTCAGTGGACTTTTTATGCTAAATGAGGATGTTCCTCTAATAATGTTGCCACATCCGAACATATTAAATTGCTTATTAAATTTGACTGTTAAGACGGCATATAATGTTTTTACAGAAAGTTGCAACTTCTCACTGTTCCAATAATCATTCCTTTGTGAAAATACTCTTTCAACAGCAGCATTAGTGTCCGGACAACAAAGAAATTTCTATTAAAACTTTTAAGTTTTCATTTGGGATATGTTCTACTATAAAATGCCGAAAGATATCTACCTATCTTTTTTCAAGTTCTATTTTCTCATTGTTCCATTTCTTCAATTTTTCTTCATTTAAATATAATTTTATTCTTCGAATTTCTTCAAAGAGAAAATTGTCATTAATAACAATATCTTATACTTCCTTTATTAGAAATTCGACTGCTGAAGGAACTTTTTTCCATTAAATTTTTCTATTTATAAGGGTCCATTAGAAACAATTCAATGCACTAAAGTTCATTATCCATTCTTCGATATATTTATAGCGAATTTTAACTTCTTTTAAAAATTCACTTTTTATTCCGGGATTGGAATCTTCCAAAGGGGCCAGTTCAAAGGTTTTAATATAGCCTTTAATATTGTATATAGTAGTGTATGTATATATTTTTTTATTTAAATTTACCTATAATTTGTTTTTTTATATTTTTCTGCAAAAATTGTTTTCTGTCACTCTATCTGAACTTATGTGATAAAGTTTTTTTTTCTCTTACATATTTTCTCACTCATCTTATCTCATCCGTTCATTCTCTTTTTTTTTTTTTTTCTTAGCGTTACTCCTTTATATTTTTGTGCTAATTCCAAC